TGGCATTTCGTTGGGAAATGAAGCGGACAATCTATTCTCAGTAGCACTGATCACCGTTGGTGAGGATTTGACAACTATTATCTTTCATTATCTTCGAAGGGTCTTTGAACTTGTGCAGAGCTCCACTGCTGGATAGATAAGAGAATTGGGGTACTCGGTTTCGCCCATTCTCTTAAGGGTTGAGAAGGCAAAGGTTACTTGACTTCGCCCGCCTCCTCGAGGTTGTACTCCATGCATCGAGGTGGTTACTAGCCTTCGCCTGCTCTTTGCTCACACTTCTGAAGCACTTGAAGTGTTTGCACTCATTGTGTTGAGTTAGTTACCGTGATTCACCTTCTCAATACCATCGAACTTCTGGAATGCAGGAAGTTTTTACCCCAACTTGGAGTAATTCTCTCATAGGTTTGGTCGCCTCTGGGATTGTACCGTTTTCTCCATCAACCCTGCCGCCTACTCCACTGAGTAGCAAAGGTACAACACCGCATACTGCCTGCTTCGTTCCTTGGTTATGCACTCTTGCATGACTCGAAGTCCTTCACTTTCGGCTATCTTGATGAGAAGCTCATTGACACCGGTCTTACGAAGTTCCTCGGCCTCTGCCCTTCAGCCTTGTCTCGGTACTTGGAGATTGCCTCTGCATGCTCCACCTCCTCGGCCCCTTTCACGACCAAGCGCTCTCCCTCCATGAGAGCAAGGGATCAATGACTTTCACGGAAGTCCTACCTCTGCGGTACCATGGCGTTGCCATGCCCATGGCCCTACTATCCGTCGCCTCGTATCTGCATCCCTTTTCTTCATGATCAATAGATATATCTCCGTGGCACTCCTCTGAGTCCACCTCCATTCTAACTGATGCTTGATTTTGGGTAGCTAAGTCCCTCTGGACTCGTCGTTTCCTCGCCCCTTTCGACCCCCTGCTTCAACACCTCTGTGTTCTCCAAGCAGTCTGTTTGGTCGATGGAAAGACAGACTGCAACTCCCATGCATGGCCTCTGCCATCACGTTGTAGGGTTTGCACCGATTCTGTTCTCCTTAGCTTCCTTGGTAGCAATGTTCGCTTACTCGACCTTGTCCTCTGACTTGCCGGGCTCCCTTAAGCGAATATGAGCTCTGGAGCAGTCCAACTCTCCAGCTGCTTCGATCATACCTCTGCATGATCAAGTCCCTTCCATGGAACTCACTGGTACTTGCATTCGAACTTTTCCCTTGGTGGGACACAACCCTCATATGCTGATGACCAAGGCTTTCATCCGATGCAAAATTCGATGCACGCACGGAAGACCCACCTCTACGGTACCATGGCCTTCACTCCTTGAATCCATAGCCCTTCTTGCTGTCGTGTTGTTCACCGAAGTGGAGCTTCCAGTAGCTCCCGATCATACCTCCATATGATCTAGTCCCTCACGGGACTATGTCGTGTGTTTCGCATTGCCACGAACTGTTCCACCACGATCCGCTGCACTATGTCGCCTCTTGGTGACATCTCCATTGCATTCTGATCCTTGTGGAATAAACTCGAATTGTGAACCCTCCATGTGTGGCCTCTGCCAATACATCGCAGGGTCTCTTCCACCTTCGATTTTGTTCGCTCCTTTGGCAATCGACCTTCATCCAACCACTCTTGGGTCACACCTAGATGAAGCACCGCTCTAGGACAGTCTGTCGCCTAGTAGCCCCCCGAAGTCCACCGACTTCATTGTAATTTGTGCACCATTGTCTGAATCCTGGGCCTCTGCCCTTACCAGCACAATCTCCGCTACGCACCGCTTCCTTCATGGCAACTTGAATGGCAACACTATGGCATATTCTTCAAGAGTACCCACCTCTGAGTCCTTTTGCCTCGTGCTAAGGCCTTCTGAACCCAATTTCGCCTCCGCAAATTGAGTCACCTTAGTTCCTCCATCAAATGCTTCTCCGAGATAAGGTGCATGTGCCCAGAAGCTCCTTTCGTCTTTGGCACAATGCAAGATGAGTCTACTCCGTCAGAATGAAGGACCCATGGAACAACATGATTCTACTCTTGCCTCTGCAAGAGTTCATGTCCTTGACCTCTGTCTAAGGAAAGCACTGTGCCTTCGCTCCATGTTCCAACTTCTATGCTGGCTCCCTTCATGCGGCTTGAGTACTTCGCCAAGTTACACCCAAGTTGCTTCGCTCCTCGTTTTTGCATTGAGTCGATGGTGGCCCTCGCACCCACCATTCCACGGGTCAGCCCTCCCTTGAGTCTGATCTCCACATCGACTCCAAGTGTGCCTTCATTTGGGTTGCTTTGGGTCGCTCCCCCACTTGATCTCGCAATGCATCCACCAATGCATTCTCTTGAGCGAGATCATGCAACGACTCCTCGCCGCTTGCTCAGTCCATTGAGCTTCGTGGAGTTGTTGTTTGTCGAGGTACTCCTCCTCAATATGTGAGGTCCGTCCCACATGATTCTCCCTCTGGAGAGCCGGGACTTATCCCTCCTGGATAACTGTCCCATTGGAGCAACATCTCTCTTCGTTTCGGAGACCACCATCCCCTTGGACTACTCCGATCTGCTGAACAAACTGTGCATTGTTCTGCCTCCTGCAAACGCACTTGCTAGATTGCGACTCCACGTCAATACAGCCCCCGCTGCACCACTCAAGGCCTAGCAACATGCTGAACTCGTTGCATACTTCAGCCTCCTACGTACGTATCCTTCACATGCCGAAGAGAAAGTTTCAATGCTCCATGGCGTCGAGTTTCGGTCGCCTTGAGATGGCCACGAACATTCCATCGTCCGCATACAAGCCCATGCATGAGTACCAAATTCTTCGAATTAGCAATTCCCCTCACCTCTGTGAGCTTTGCATAACTCTTTTGGTCATTGAGCAATTCATTCCACCTTGCATGGTCTCATCCTTTACCAAGCGCCTCGCTTGCCTTGAGCACCATCAAGTATAGTTGTCAACGTTGAGCCGTAGCTCAAACTCAGCCATCCCAACCTTTGTGCGCTCCACATTCTTCCAAGCTTGCCTGTTCTTGTGGTTCCTCTTGCGCGAAGGGTTGACCATTCCTCTGAATGCCAATGTCAGATGCCCGCTCCTCCGAGCGACTCCTTTTCCCTACATCTCCATGCCCGTTTTCCCCCAAACGGTCGCGCGTGTGCTAACTACCCTCAACGCAGGCCCGCTAGGTCCCCCACGTTTGCATGCTAAGTGTTTCTATGAGTGCTTGTCCCGCTCTGATACCATCTGTCACGGACTTAGCTGGTTTTGCCTAAGTCGTGCGGCACCCTTGCGTGTCCGTTCGCAAAGGTCAGCCTCCCCGAAGCCTCCAATTGTCCCTTAGGACCAACAAAAGAGAGAACGGGTTAGAGAGAACGCCTCAATCGGGATCCACAAGCAAACATATCCGAAAAACACTTCATAGACACTGCAAATTACAAATAGACTTTACAAGCTCTGAACAGTTGCACAACAAAGGGGTAAAATGGTCCATTACAGACCGAAAATCTCTCGCACGTGTCCACATGACACAACCTTTATTTACAAGCCTAAAGAGGCCACCAACCTAACTAAAATGACACTATTAAGCCTTCGGTCGCCCCTCTACATGCTGTACAAGGCATGAACATGCCAAAAGACACGGACATACATAAGCATTACATCAAACATCTTGTTTAGAAGTTTGTCCGTGACACTATGACGAGATCAATGATTTGCACCTTCGATTGAAGTTTTCATAATGCAGGGAGTTTGGCCTTGATGACTTCTAGAGGAGGGGTGGGGGGCTTTGTTGAAGAATTTTCCATATAGGCTTAGCCTCCAATGGTTTCTGTCATTTTGGACTTCCTCAGGATCAAGCACCATGACATGCCTAGAGTTCTTCTATATTTTTGGCAATCTTCGCCGTTAGCTCGGGGTCAAAATGCTAGGGGTCATTGGAGGAGGCTTGCCTTGGAAAGGGGTGGCTTTCGGGCCCAAGAAGAGGATTTGGGGTCGATCGCTCTAGAGCTTGGTGGAGAACTATAAAGGTTGGTGTCCCATTATGATCTGGAGGCTTTCCTGTCTCTGGAGATTGGGGGGTTTCTCTGTGGAAGAAGAGGGGAGAGACGTTGCTTGTGAAGAGGGGAGGAGACTTGCCATTGAGGACCAGCTGAGGGAGCTCAGATAGAACATCTTGACTTTGATGGGTTGGTTTCACATAGAGGCATTTATTAAAGCCTGTCCAAACACCTTTGGAGGTTTGGATGGTGGCCTTCTTTCCTCAAGGGGGAACTAGGTATCCTCTAAGGGAGAAATTGAGAAAGAGAAGAAGAAAAAGAATATGAAGAGAGGTGGAAGAAGAGAAGAGTAAAGATGATGAGGAGATTTAGAAGGGAAATATTATTCATAACATTAGTTTTGATGTAATCTGATTCCTTTAGGGCTTACAATAGCCTTTATTTTATAAGCTCTCATTCCCAATCATAATAAAGTGGGACATAAATGTGCTTCCTGTCATAATGGTTCGACTTGGTTATTAGGCCCTAGTTTTTCCATAGCCTTTTGGGTCGAGTATTGACCATGGGATGCTACTTTCTGAGAGGAAGAGATTTTGATCGCTTGGATCAAAGATGAAGATTAAGTCAATCACCATGAATACATTTGTGAGGCTCGGACCACTTTGCTAATGTGCCTTTCTTGATTCTTCACAAATTTGGCCATAGTGTTTTGAGGTCAGAATAAGTGCAATAGAACCCCAAATTACTATGACCGGGTTGGAAGTATTTGCATCATAATAGTTGACACGAGTCATTTTTCTAAGCTAGTTGATTAAAACGGCCAATGTTTCTAAGGTCTATACTGTACTATGTCATCCTTAATTTCTACAGTTGTGATATATCAATCAAATGAAGTTTGTTGTCGTTGGATCTTCAAAACAAATGCATGCATTGCTGTAAGAATGTTAAAATTTCATGTTAACTCCTACCCATTTATTTGGATTGAGATTTATTGATCTGTCTAGAGAGACCTGATGATAATGACTAATTTAAGGTGTTGGAGATGGAAGCATGCTTGCAAGAAGTAAATAATGCAATACCTCCTCGTGAGATTATATGTGCTCTTGCAGACAAATTCAGGTATGTATGCTCTGTAATTTGTTTGGTTAACTTTCTCCTTGAATTTACATGATCATGTTGCAAAGTATCATTTGCTTGAAGTGCAACCCCTGAACGAGTCGGGAAGATTGTCGTGCAACCGAAGCAGGTTATATTTTCCTACTTAGTTCATATTGGGCATATTATCAGAATGTTTATTAATTCTGAAGATTTTATAGGTTTGGAACTGGTTCCAGAATAGGAGATATGCACAAAGAGCAAAGTTGGGCAAGGCACCTAATAAACTTACCATTTTACCTATGGCTCGGGATGAATCACCTCCATTTACAAATGTGGCTGCTCCTATTTCTGCTCCTTCAGGTAATTCTCTTTGGTTTTACCTCTAGATCGTTTTCCTATCTTTAATTGGTTGCTATAAATGTGTTTCTCATCTCTTTTTTTATGCTGATGTTGATTTTACAAATTCAAGAGTTAACATCGTATGATTATCATCTGCAAGTCATTTCTGATCGATATAGTGTCAGCGACAAAGTAGAAGTCAAGATTAAGAATGCTTGATTGGTAAAGTTATCCTTAATGCATTTGACTATCGTTGTTTTGATGGGATGGAGATCTCCTATTGAGTCCTTTTTCTTTGATGTTCTCAGGGAGTGAGAAAGATTTAGGAAGAAAGGAAGGAGAGAGAACGGATAGGATTTCAAGAGCTAAATTATTAATCAAGATTCAAGACATACGTCCAAGGGTTACATTAACGTGTGTTTATTGAATACCAATATTTAAATCCTACAAGAACCATGAATAGGGGAAAACTGCAAGTTATGCCCCATAAGGTTACCATGAAGGGTGCAAAATCTAGTGTGAACCAAAATCGGGCAAAACTTGGTCTATGTTCTGGTTCATTGTTGGACCGATAAACACAGGCCTGTACCAATCAGTACAATCAATTTTAAAAACCTTGGTCATACCAACTAATGAAGTAATCCATGTCAGTTAACCAACTGATGAAAGCTTTGGATCAAATCTTCCATCAGAGCTTCATGGATTTAGCTTTGACCATATTGGTGATGTCATTATTTGGCTTTCTAAGATCATCTACTGTGATTGACACGACCTTGGTAGTTTCCATGCATGTCTATGTTGGTTGTTCATGTATTGTATAATAGACACAGTAATAGCAAAATGAGGAAATATCATATTGTTGTTTCTGTGGAAATTATCTAGCATAGTCATGTGCTAACATGGGAGGTTGATAGAAAATCTTTTATACTTTATAACAGTTTTGCATTGAAATATATGAATTTGATATAGTAGTTATTTAATCAAATTAGATATAGATGATTTTTTTAAAAAACACTTACCTATTGTTTGTATTTCTAATTTGTCCAGTCCAGATTTTCATTTTAAAGTCTCACAAAATTTCTATATGAAGAAGAGAAATAAAGTTCAGAAAAAAATGAAAACTCATTGTTTTTTGTTTACTTAGTTTTATATGGCTTGTATAATTTTCTTATTGCTATACTTGGATCTCATTTATCACTGTATTTTACCACTTTGAACATTTCCATTACTTTGACATCTAGGGCGGAATTCTACTGATAATGCTTTGGTGGAGTTCGAAGCAAAGTCAGCTAGGGATGGAGCATGGTAAAGATACCTTTTTTTCCCTATGAATTTAATTACCACAAGTATACATATATGTCATATTACTTATTCTTTTCTATGTAGATTAATTTTCATATGTTCTTTTTTGAAATATAATTGAGGACACTTTTGATTTCTTTTTGGTTATTTTGGTATTTTGAAATATATATTCTTTGTTTATTATAGTGGTTTAAAAAATGCTAGACGTTAAGGTCCCAAAATGCCCGAGGCACTAGGCGCTCACCCGAGCGAAGCGAGGTGCTCTAAAATGTTAAAATATAAAAATATATAATATAATTAATAAATATAATTATTGAAATAAAAATATGATATTAAATTAAAAACAAAGATTAGTAGTGTTAAAATCTAAATAGTATATTATTAATCTAATAAATAAAGATTATTTTGAACAGTAATTAATAATCTACTATTAATAGGATATTTATTGTTAATAGCAGGAGGGAAGAGTAGAGACCAAAGAAGTCGCAGTGAGAAGTCGACGGTGAGAAGCTAAGTCGCAGGCAACATAAAATAGCGGAAGTTGCGGAGTCGTGGACAGTAGTAGCGATAGCGGAGTCATGTTGCGGATAGCAGTAGGCAGTGGACAACGACAGCGGCAAACAGTGGGTAGCAGTGGAAGCTGCGGAGACTCGGTCAGCGATAGAGGAAGACTCAAAGGCAATAGGAGAAATCATTGGCGGCGGAGGTAGAGGGAGAAATCGTCGGCGGTGAATGCAGAGGGAGAAATCGTCGGTGGCGGAAATAGAGAGAGAAGCGTGCGTAGGGTTAGGAGTCGGGTTCGTGCGCTGATATAACTGCGTGCGTTAGTTGATTCAATCGAATCAACTAATGCAAATTTAAGGGATTCGGCCGCCTTATTTCAATCGGGCGATTGCTTGAAGCGCCTGGCCCTTGGGCTCGAGCGAGTACCCAGGCGATGCCTCATTGGGCTCAGGTGAGGCAAGGCGAGGCCCGAGCACCTTTTTAAATCACTGGTTTATTATTGGGGTTATTTTGGTTTCTTTTTCTCTTTCTTCTAGAAGTATTGCACATTTGGTCAAAGTTTTGGATTTATTCAATTTCTGTTTGGAATTTTTATGAATAGGCTACTTGAAATGCTGAATATTGTTTTTAAAGTTGCAAAACTGAAAGCATTTGTATCTGTTGCATAGTCTAAGGTGTAATTTGGTGGACCAACCCATAAATAATATGTGCTAGATAAGCTTGAGTTGGCTTTTTACTAGATTGGGTCAAGTCTGAATAGAAATGCTATAACCTGAAGTGCGATAGGTTGGGGTTTGTTGTAGGCATATAATTTAATATACTAGGCTCTATTTATTTTCTGCACATTCCGATACTAGGTTTCTCTAGACCAAACTGATTTCTGATTTAGCATAATTTGTGATCTAGGTTATTTCCAGTGTGTTGGAGACCCCACTATGAAAAAGTGGAGGGTCAACTATATCAATCCCCCTTCCTTTGTGGTGAAAACCTTGTAATTAACCGTGTCCTTTCAATTTTTCCCTTCCTCTCCAAAAAAGAATTTATATAATTAGAACTAATTCCTATTGGATGAACTGATAAAGGAGTTTCTGGAAACATATGAACCACTGGTCTCTTCATAAGACATTATAAGTGGTAGTCATCATCATTGTCTCAGTTTACCCAATATGTCAGGAATGATTCTTCTCTCTTACCACTTAGTTTCTTTCTATGTTCTAGGTAGTAATGTTATTATTTTCACTTCTCTCATTTATTTTCAATTGTCCTCTCAACTCTACTGAAATCAAGTGCTTTCTAATTGATAATCATTGTGATTATTTTTCTTTTATGGTATCTCAACTGGCTTAACTGATGTCAGTTGAGCTCATATTTAGTAATTGGGTAATGCCAGATTGAAGGCAAAAGTTCAAAGGCTTCGGGTTTGCTTGGTTTCCTTCTTGCTTGACCATACCCACGTCGAGCTCTAAGACGAGCATTGCCTTCTGACATGTAAAACACAATTGTTTTACGATGATTTTAGCAGAGTGAGGTCTTACACTAGTTTTATGTGTTTCAATGCCTTCAACTAATGCAACCTTGACTTTTGCTTTAAGCTTGGATGTTCTCATGTTAAGTACTTCCACTCAAAACATTGTCATAATGTTCGTAACAGGATTAGTAGCATAACCATTTATTGAAAGGATTTGGTGTCATTGAAATAAGGTGTTCTGGTGGTGTGAACAGTTGTAACATCTTATCTTAGTATTTTGTAATTAGAAGCTGAAAAGAAAAAAAGACTTGAGAGTTGATTAAAACATTCAATTAAAGTGATCAAGGAATTAAATTTCGTGTAAGACTTGTACTAGTCTAGGCTCGGATTGGTATGGTTTTGATACATACCAGCATATTGATACATGGTATATTGTTACATACCGTGGTCCAGAAAAAGATCAAAGAATTGGCCAAAAAATGAAAAAAAATCCTAATGTGTTATTCTTTCTCATCTTTTTTTTTTCAAATACAATTAATATTGATAACAATAAAGTGATTGACCTAGATCCAGGTTAGATCACCAAGAAGCAAGGCTTGGTCTTTGTAAATCAAGCTTAAATGAGGTCTAAATGTAAGAGATCTAGGCTGAGGTAGAAAAGAAAGAATAAACCCTAACCTAATTGCATGCATCTAAATGGATGCAACACCTATTTTATATTGGCATGAAATATCAGTATTTACAGTAAATGTGCCGACAGTCTCTCAAAACATATATTCCTAAACCAACATATATGAATAAGTAGTGATTTAAAAAGCGCTAGGCGCCAAGGTCAAAAAACGCTCGAGGTGCTAGGCGCTCGCCCAAACGAAACGCTAAAATATAAAAATATATAATATAATTAATAAATATAATTATTTAAATAAAAATATAATATTAAATTAAGAAAACATTGTAAAATAACAATATCACATTAACAAAAAGTCTCAAAATTCAAAAAAATAACAATAATTTCAAATAAATAAAAATTAATAGTATTAAAATCAAAATAATATATTATTAATCTAATAAATAAAAATACTATTACTAGTATACAGTTAGTAGTATATTGTTAATTTACTGTTAATAGTATACGGAGTGAGAAAAGTGTAAGTAAGAGGAAGATCGAGGCTGTTGACTGAGAGCAACGACAACGGGAGCTGCGAGCGACGATAGTGGCAGCAGTAGCAACGGGAGCGGTGAGCGACGGTAGTGGCAACGACAATGGTAGCAGCGAGCAGCAATAGCGGGAGCGGGAGCGGTGAGCGACGATAGTGGTAGCGATAGCAGCAAGCAGCGGGAGCGGGAGCAGGAGCGGGGAGCGACGACAGTGGCAGCGGTAGCAACAAGCAGCAGGAGCGGGGAGCGACAACAGTGGCGGCGGCAACGGGAGCAGCGAGCGACGACAGTGGTAGCGGGAGCAGCGATAGTGGCAACGACATCGTTAGAAGCGAGCAGCGGTAATGGGAGCGGCGAGCGGCGATAGTGGCAGCGACAGCGGTAGAAGCGAGCAGCGGCAGTGGGAGCGGTAGTGGGAGTGGTGGCATTGGCAGCGGCAGCGGTAATAGCGAGCAATGGCAACGGGAGCAGCGACATTAGCAGCGACAACGATAGCAACGAGCAGTGGCAATGAGAGCGGGAGCGGCGAGCAGGGTTAGGGTTGGGAAGTCGCGAGAGGAAGGCTAATATCGGTGCTTTAGTTGGTTCGATTGAACCAACTAAAGCACCGGAGACAGAACCAGTCCTAAAACGTTGGTTCAGTCACCTGGTTTAACCCGAGCACTCGCCCGAAGTGCCCGGCGCCTGGGTTTGGGCGAGTGCCAAGGCGGCGCCTCTTTGAAGCGCACCGCCTGGAAATGAAGCGAGGCGCTCGGGCCTCGCCTCGCCTCCCCCGAGCGCCTAGGCGAGCGCCCGAGCGCCTATTGAAATCACTGTGAATAAGTAATGATTTTACTTGAAACATACTTTCCTAAATAAACATATATGAATAAGTATTATCATGATTTAATAAGAAGTTATGAATTATCCGTTACTTGAATCATTATACCTCTCAAATGATATTGCCTATATTTAAGTCATTTAATTTCGGCCTTACTATCACATTATGGAGACTATAGCAGTCTGTTATTAGTGGTAAGGTTATACTGGTTCTTGTACGTGGGATTTAGAATATAACTTATACGATTAACACAATATATTGATCAGTATTATAATTTTCATATTTGAACTAAGTCTATCGAGCACAATTTTTTTTAACCTGCCATGCAAAGATCTCCAAATATCTAAGTGTTCCATCTCCAAACAATGATATTGGGATGACACAAATTTCTTCGTCTTGGGATATGCTTTCTGTCTCTTGTCCTTTGCAGTCTGTCTTTTCAGCCTTTTTTTTTAATAATGACACAACACAAAAATATGCACAAAATACATATGTGTCGCTCCACGGTTATGATATTTTCAATCACTGCATCCTAATTCTTGTGGAAAAAATGTGCTATTCTCTGACTTCTTCATTTGATGACCCAGCATAACAGGAGCTAGTTCAATCAGTCTGTGAATATCGTCTTTAATCCGATCTTCATTCTAATGGATGGACTTCCTTAGAAGAATTCAATGGCAAACCTAGTGGTGCCAATGAGTAGGAAATCTCCTTATGTGAAATTTCACATGCTTCCAATCAAGGTTTGTCAATTTGGGTACCGGGCCCATATCGTAGATTTGTTGAATCGGTCTGTACTAGTGTACCGACAAATGGTACATCGGTAAGTATCATTGTTTCGGAGAGGAAGAAAGAAAGGGACAAGGGGAAGGGACGGTGGAGGAAGGAGGAAGAAAGAGGGAACAAAAGGAAGCGGTAGATGAGGAAGAGGAAAAGTAGGGACATACCTGAGAAGTGATTAGGGCAAATGTCTTGCATGGTGGTCTGCAGTGAGGTTGTGGCAAGTAGTGGTTGTTGGTGGTTCCCTGCGTGAGAAGCGAAGGTGTGGATCGTAGTAAGAAGATAGAGGCAAGAAGTCACAGTGAGAAGTCGCAGGCTGACAGCATCGATCGTGGTTGCGTGTGAAGCAAAGGTGGCATGGAAGTGGGATTTAGGGTTTTCTACTTTCTCTTTTATATGGTGGATCGGACCGGGGTGTGTCTGCGTATCGATCAATGCTTGGATCGGTACGTGCCAACCGTTTTGTACTGGTCTGGGCAAAACGGAAGTCTATGCTTCCAATGATGATTATAAATTGGGTGATGATGTTCTGTGCCTTTATTACTGTCCTTTTGACTATTGAGATATCACTACTGTCCATCATTAGGTCTATATAGTGGTCACGTCTATATAGTGGTCTCTATATGAGGTCCACACTCCACAAAATATTTGTCTTACTCTATCAATTGTTCACCAGCATTCTTAAAGTTGATGACAACTTCTGCAAACTGTTTTCTTCAGACCCATGGATTGTGAATCTTCTTTGATGCATCAACATACTTTTGGAAGATTATTATTTAGTTATAATTTACCAGGAAGTTTATTATACTCACCCTATTAGAGGGTCAGACCAGTTGTTGCATATGACTATCACACTACAAAGGTCCCACAAAAGATTTAATCAAATCCTTGCTCTTGATCTCCTTGTCAAGATATATATATCAATAATCTTGTATGGAGTAAGAGGCTGTATACTAGGACCTTGCTTCTTGGCAGTGGACATTATGGATTGGAACAAGGACCTCATGCTACATTAGCTGGGATGCAGTAAAAATTAAACCATGTAATTGCTTTCTTTATATATTATTCTTCTCCTTGGTATATTCTTTATTGATCATTGTTTTGTAGTATGAGGTTGCAAAGCCATGGAATTTAGGTCGACAATATCAAGTGTTGGCCTCTTGCCTAATAACCTAAGTGAACACCATACCTACTGGCTCTACCTAATACTAGATGTCCTACTAGCTATCCTTAGGCTGCCTCATAATGGAAGATCGACTAAATTGGGAGGGGTCAACACCACTACAATTGCCATTGTCATGCCCATACTGGGAGTCGCTAGGTCACTGTTTCATTGCCTTCACGTGCATTTAGTGATGCTCCAAGGATACATGACTCCAGGCTTTCAGGGTCATCACATCATCTTCACTAGTCTTATATTTAACATATGCGTGCCGATCCATGTCCTCATGTGTTCTTTCCAATAGTTTTAAGGTTGTCCAGGCATCCAATTCTCTCCTGAAAGTTCATTTGATTTTCAATGGTACCTTCATGCACTTTGTCATGTCAGAAAAATCCATCAGCCAAATGCTATTTGTGATAAGTTATTTTGTCACCCTGACCTATGTAGTCACAGTGGATGCACTACTAGTGATGCCATTTATCCAAGCGATAGGCATATTATTGCCATGCAGGATTGGTGCTCTGGTGTTCTTTCTATCATTTTCCTACAAAAAGTTGTCAATCCTAGTCAGCAGAACAAAATTTACAGTAGTATTAGAAATCAAGGTCTGATTCACACAGATTGAACCTAGATACGTGTAGACCTAGGCTAGATACACATATCTAGGCTGGAACAACACAAATCTACTTTTTATATGTATACTGATCATTAATCTATCAGTATCTAGGTCTGATCCATATGAATCCAGCCTAGATCAGTGTGGATGTAAGTATCTAGGTTGGATCTGGCAGTGATCTATGTTGATCTGGTATAAATATGCAAGTATCCAGCCTAGATCCTTGCAGGTCTGGCCATGCGGATCTACGTCAATTTTGTGCTGGTTAAGCTAGATCCAACCAAATCTAGGTCGAATACTTGCGGATGTAGGATAGATACAAGTAGCTGGATCCGATCTATGTCACATCCACAAGGTGAATACTTGCGGATCTAGGATAGATACAAATAGCTGGATCTGATCTATTGTTACATCCACAAGGATCTATGTTGGATCCAAATGGATCCACGAGAATTTTGGACATGTTCACTCTAAAATTGAGAAAGAAACATTAAGTATATCTAAATCCATGAGATCATGACTTTAAGGAGAAACTACCACTCAATTTTGAAGTTTTAAACTTTTTTTAGGGGAAACTAATGCTTGATTTTAAATTCGTGGTTCAGATTTACCTTTTTTGTTTAAAAAATGACATGATTTCTTGAGGTTAAACTTTCAGTTCCTTCAAATTATTAGTCTTGGATTTGAGAAAAATGAAGATTGAAGAATGAGATTAAGTGTGTGGTGATGAGTTGAGGAAAAAATCGGTTGAAATTGAGAGATGGGTGAATATATGAGGGAAAGAGCTTTTAAAGTGTCTAATGTATCTATTTCTGTATTTGATTACCCTAGGTAAATTTACCAGCCATAAGGAAGCGGTGACAGTCAAATACTATACTTATCGCTGTTGGACCCTAAAAAACGGGACCTTGATAAGTATGGTGGTTTTTAGAACCTTTGTTGAGACATTGCCTTTATTAAGATCATCAAATGTGCTTTTACCTCAACACTATTTAACATTTTTAAATGGACAGTTGTGGTGCATTGTGAACATTGTAGTTGAATTGCTGGTGTGGTTGCTCGTTGGCACCTAAGTTCTCTTTTTTAAATAATTTAATTTTTTTTGGCACAAAATCTGTTACCAAACATGTTTACTTATCGTTAATGACTAACTGCTTGATATCTGTTGGTAACTATCTTCTGATTTTTATAGATGATCTAATCATGACTTCATATGCAGGTATGATGTTTCAGCCTTTCTTTCACACCGAATGTTTGACACCGGTGATCCGGTAATTTTAGCCTTTGTTCCTTAGCATTGTCATATTTACAGTTCTTGTTACTGAAAACAGTATGTTGAGGCAGTGTCTGCAGTAACTTCACTCCTAAATTTTTCGTTGTGCTGTTTGCGTTTATGACATGTTATTAATTAGAAATTCTAAATATTTTCTGATGAAAAGGAAGATTCTATCTTATTTTAACTGATTGACAAACTTTGCTTTTATCTGGATTTGATGGTAAAGGTTTCTGTGCACCGTGAATAAGTGGAACAGACTTGTAACCTATTTTTAATTCGTAATATTTGCATTTTTCAGGAAGTTCGGGTTCGATTCTCAGGATTTGGTGTGGAAGAAGATGAGTGGATCAATGTACGCAGATGTGTTAGGCAGCGATCACTTCCATGTGAAGCTGCTGAATGTGTTGCTGTACTTCCAGGAGACCTCATCCTATGTTTTCAGGTGTTGTCAGCTATTCTATGTTTGGTAGGATGATCTCCATTTGATAAATTATTATGGAATTTCAACCTGAAGTATATTGTTATACAGGATATTGTAATTTGTGATTCTTAAGCAAGTAGAGTTTTAGACCCTCCTTATGAAACTTAATTGAGTGACTCCTTTTCAAAATTTCCCATTGCTTGGTTTACTTGCTTGATACGAAGTGGTTCAGATCATGAATTTGTTAATTTTTAAAATACAGTATGCAATATGAAGTACTACAATTTACAAGCTCATGTCCCATATTTTTGGAAATATTATAATCATCATGATCTATTACTAGGGAATAGAAGCATTAACTTTTGCTATGATTGTCTTCTTTCTTCTTTTTTGTTTTATCTCTGTAAATTTGCATAATTTCAATAGAAAATCATGTGTCTTTTTTGTTTTCTTCCCTTTTTGAAAAGGATGTTTGAATGGAAAATAAGGGAGCTCATTGTTAGATTTTTTTTTTCTTGGATGTGGTCTGAAAAGGATAATTCTGCTTTAACCATGTTGCAATGGTCTGTGGTGGTCTTTGGGTCATGATATTGTAAACAAGTTTTGTGGGAATTATGGGATTGGTTCTGCTTGAACATGTTATGGAATGCATGCTTTCCTATGTAAGTGTGCCTTCAATTCATTATAATTTTTAAAAGCATTTGTCCTTGTTGCTGTTAAAATTAATTTTTTTTTTCAACCCTGTAATGCTTTCTCATTTCTAGATCCTTTATGAATTCTATTGGTTCGCTTCAATCACTTGAGACTTGAAGCCTGAAATTTAATTAAAAATTTAACCTTTCCTTCTTTTGAAGAATCTTTGCATGAAAAGACACTCATTTGGTCTCTTTTGTAGATTTTGAGAGTATTGTTTACATTTCCATTGTAATTGTAAAGGGATGCTGGCTTCTTGACACGTGTCAGTTGGTTTGAAGAACCTGTCATATCCTGTATTTGGTAATCTAGATATTGTTGCAAGACATAGCCTGAAATTTAATTAAACATTAATGGTACTTAAATTTGCAATTTGATGATTTCAGAAGCAGTTGATATAATATACTTACTGTTTTTTAATTGAGGTTTACCATGTGGAGTTTGCAGGAAGGAAAAGAACAGGCTCTTTATTTTGATGCCCATGTTCTTGACGTACAAAGACGAAGACATGATATACGTGGATGCCGATGTAGATTCCTTGTTCGTTATGATCATGATCAGTCTGAGGTACTGAATGTTTGTCTTCTGTACTGATCGTGTGAATCTGATAGATGACATGTAGTTGCAAATACAAAATATCTTTCATCCTTTTGATTACTTTTGCTTTGTTCACTCCTGAGTCATAGCATGTATGATAAGCATATGACAGGATGATTCGTGGAAGATTGGGTTTTGGTTGAGAAGAGGATGCAAAGGATGATGAATGTAATAGGGATGATTAGGGAGGCTATGAACCCTAACTCATTTATGCTGTTATACTTGATACTATCACTAGATGGATTTCAAGGTTGCTAGAATACTTTTGCTGCCAGTCGATTAGCTTCGTCTCATCTAATTTTCCTTCTGTTGCCTCATTTTGGCAATCATTTATATGCCTTGGATGCTTCAATGATGTGCTAAAGATGATTTTTATTTCTTTTGTGTTTTGGGGCTTGAAGTAGTTTATTTTAGTAGTCTTTTAATATGCATAAATATTGAGACAAAAGTGATTGGATGATTGATTTCCATATTGTCTAATTTTTCTTAATTTAACCATTTAGCTTGACAAGAACGATTGCTGTCTCATTTATAACCATAGCTAAGAATGGTTGGCATGATTATTGCAAATAAAAGTATAAACCAAATTTACGGCCTATTCACATGAAAATATAATTCTTTTCTGATTCCAGGAGATAGTTCCACTGAGAAAAGTGTGCAGGCGTCCAGAAACTGATTATCGGCTACAGATGTTGCAAGCTTCAAAAGTATCTGGAGGACCAGTTGATCTGCAGGCCGCAGCAAGAGATCTGACTCCAAGTTCATCCAAGGATTTCGGGTTACAAAGGACCCGAAAGCAGCGCAAGCTAATGGATGTCAACACTGATGAGGTAACCATGGTCGCCCTTTCTCATCCAAATGATCCTGCTAGCTTGCAGGGTGACAATCCAGCAGCAGCAATCGAGAACAGTAGCAGCACCCCTTCAAATGTCATGATGGAGGATGCTGCAGTCAACATGGAGAGCATCGACTCCTAGCAAGAGGGTGGTTGACACATTGTATTTTGTCGCTGAAATATTGTAGCCAGATTTAGTGGTAAAAAATGGAGATACGCTATGGTAGACTGTTTGCACTCTGCCCATGTAGATGTAATTTCTTAAGATTACAGGCTAGTTTTTGGCGATGTTTATTTTGTGGTTTGGAAAGGAGATTAATGTTTATAATCCTTTTTATTATTTATAATCTTATTTTAAAAATGTTTAATATTGTAAAATTATTCTTTCTTAAATGAATATAAATATTATATTCTTCTATTTTTTTTTCTCTTTCTCCTCTTCCTCCTACTCAAAGGAAAGTATCAAAGAGACGACTGCGTAGGGTCAGAATATGAGTCGGGGGCCATGGTCAATAATAGGGAACACCATCTTTGAGAGCTCCAACATTCACCAAGCAGCAAGCTTGCTTAACGCCAAGATCTGGTCCATCTGGGAAGGTCTGCTGGAAGCTGATCAATTCAATTTGTCCAAAGTTATCATCAAGTCAGATTCTCTAGAGGCCATTCTAATTTGTATAGGATCAGATCTGTTCCATGGTGTGTGCGAAATGTATGTGCTGTTATCTTTCATCTGGTCTATAGGGTCGATGTTTTGAGTTTTGAGCATGTAAATAGGGACTCGAACATCGCTGCTCACAACCTTGCTAACCATGTGAGGCTTTTCTTTGTTCTCCAATCTCCGAGGAGAGCTGTATTTTTGGGGACGACTGATGTCTCATTTAAAATATTAAAAGTTTATTTAAAACTTAGAAAAATTAGAACGATTTATCCTATGAATCAATTTATAAAAAAATTATTATATCTTATCAAAGATATTATACAAAATATGATAAAAAGGATACGACAAAAAAAATATGAAAAATAGGAGCATCTCTTGCGAAAAGTCAAAAAAGAGAAAGAAATATTTCTGGGAAATTCGCCCTTTATTTTTTTCATCATAAAATGTATTGCAGATTAGATGGACAAATCGCTTTATTGTATTAATCGACTCACAGAAATTAAATACATTAATTTTTTTTTACCATCATATTATTATGGCGGGATGAATCCTTCACCTGATTTTTCTTACCGTCCGACAGGCATCGGTTGGTGATCGGAGACGCAAACAGGACTAATAGGTGGGCCCGTCCGTTGCCACCTCGCCCCACCCGTCGCCTCCTTTACCGGTCAGGCAGGTAAGTAAGGAAGGATGTGATTCGTGTAGGAGGAGGAGCCTTTTGTTACTTATTATATGATGGCAGCTTCCAAAATATATTATTCGTCTCCCAGCAACCAAAACCGACATTGGTGAATGCGCGAAAAAAATGCATCTGCACATCATCCTCGTAACTTCCATTTCATCCACCGGGCGCCGTTCTTTCAAGTTTGTCAACCCAAAGCCGCCAACTCCAAAATATTTCCGACCTCCTCCTCCGCTCACGGCCGCGGCGGAGGGGCAGGCGCATTGATCGATCCGACATTCCTGCCCTTTCCGACGACGATCGACCCGTCTACTACCACCATTTCCACCTCCACCACTGAGTCCCTCGCTGGAGGCACCGCTTCCAACCGTTGGCGCCGCTGCCGATCTTGCTTTTGTCTCGCCAAGAAACTAAGAGTTGTTCTGTTATTTGCGTCTCGATTCGTCTCAAAACCGTGGATCGCGTGTCTCATTGCCGAATCTGGGAGGTTCGGGGTGGAGATCTACGCAATGACGACAAGGAATCGGACGCCACTGTACAAGAAGTACCGCGACGCCTTACGAAGCGTTCGGGTGCCGATGGCCTCTTTTTCTCCCTCCCATGCTGGCCCTTCGTCATCTGTGTCGTCCTCTTCTTCGGCGGGGCGTGGTGGTCCGGTAATCGAAATGGTGAGCACTTCGCTTCTCCATCCCAATCGGTCTTATGCTCCCGTTAGCACGGAAGACCCGGGCAATTCCAGGTATGAATCAGGTTCCTGTTGAGCCAACTCCCTGTGATCTGCTGCTTTCTTATGTTACCTTTTAGATCCCATCCAGTATAATTTTACATTTTCCTCCTTTTTGATACATTGGCCCTGTTAGATCCCGCATTAATGGGTGTCTTGTGCACTGGGTTGCCCTTGCTTTCCTTTTTTATCCTTATTTTCCATATCATTTTGACGTTTCATGCATTTTTTCACATAATTTGCTGGATTTTAGATCCTCTGATGCTCCATATGAGTATTGGTAATCTATCTAACTTATACTTAAATTGCAGTCTTGCTTGGTTCATGGCTAGAAATATTCATAGATCACCACTCCTGCTGTACTGAAGTCCTCAAAATTTTAAACCAAGTGTCTGTTCCACCCTCCAAATTACACGCTTCCTTTACATGACTAGAAATATCATCATCATGTCATCCTTTTTACATTAATACTCGTTTTCCTATTTACTTCAATATTCCACATCACCTCATATATCAGCCTCTTGAGTATAGAGTACCTGTTCAATTTTTCCAGTGGCAATGTGAAACTATGTAATTAACATATCTACCAGCAACCATCACATTTACATTGTCTTGCAAAACGGCAAACAATTAAAAGGTTAATACCTTAGCCATATCAACCAATCAATTTCAATATGTTCTACTGATTCTAAATGTTTGCTTATGACGCAGATATATCTAACTTAAGCTTTACCGTTGTAGCATAGATTAGGATTATATCATTGTATGCCTTAGAGTCACCTTTCCAACGTCCACAACAAATAAAGCATCATATATATATGAAGGTACTAGCTAGCTTGGCTAGTAAAAATCCTGCCTTTACGACTTACCATTTGCACACACACAAAAAAAGAAAAGAAAAGAAAAGATAATCATGAAGATGCTTTTTGAAACACAAAATAGAGCAGTCAATATCTTGAGATAGACTATTCAAATTTTATTTCTGGTTATTGGCATAAAAACCCATTATACTATCTTATATGGTCAACACAAGGGTCTACAGCTATCACTTCCCATCACAACTATCATTGTTGGGAGGATGATGTGGGAAGGACTTCCATTATTGATTTTTCAATTTTGGACTAGTTCATTGATTGAGAGTAAGCCTTGGCATCATGGTAAGGTTGCACCTTTGTGAGCTCAGTGATTAGAGTTTAAATTTCCTAGACTATTCAAATTTTATTTCTTGTCATTGGTATAAAAAACGATTATGCTGTCTTATATAGTCAATGCAACGGTCTACAGCTATCAGTGATCACATCACAACTATTGTTGTTGGGAGGATGTTTTGGGAATGACTTCGATTATTGATTTTCTAATTTTGAACTAGATTTTTGATTGAGACTAAGCCTTAGAATCATGGTAAGGTTGCTGCTTTATGATCTAGTGATTAGAGTTTTAATGACTAAATCATGAACTGCTTCATGTTGTTTCCATTAAAAACTATGAGCTCGTGGATCAATATTAAAAAGAAGACCAAGCCATTCCTCAGTTATTGATGTCATCAACATGAAATTATTGACTTAGCCATCAAAGTCAGCAAACAGCTTCCTTGATCCATTTGTAAAGTTGATGTGTCAAAGCTACTCTAGATTGTGGCTAATGCTGATTTCATAACAAGATTACTGAAATTTAAAACTAACCAACATATTTAAGCCTCCAGTCATAAAATACTAGCAAACAACTTTGTAGGGAAATTTGTTATCAGAGTTGATGAATCATAGCTTCTGAAGTTTGTGACTAGTACTAATTCCATACCCATAGTCATCAACCACCTCACAATTGATGTTATCTTTGCAACCATAAACAAATCGTGTGAATCCACATGCACCATGAACTTCATCTTGGGTGGCATGAGTGAGATATTTCTGAGTCTGTGCTCCACTTGTTTGTGCCTGCACATTGAGAACATGAAATCCATATTGCCACCCTCATAGAGACATGCATTGTTGTCCATATCACTAGTGTGTTTGCAGAACTCATGAAGTGCAAAATCTCAGAGAGAAAATGTCTCATCATCTTATTGTTGCTCATCAATTGTGCCCAAAGAGTCAAATAACTGCAATGAGTAACCATTTTCCTTGTTTTAATGGTCGGATGATGGACTTCAATATATGCTGTCACTGTCACAGTAATTGCCTATAGTCGGACCACTTCCTGGCAGTTAGCCTGCTCATCCAGCCTTGTCTTGCAGACAGCCTTGTTAGAAGATCCCTATTTGGAGTTGATCTCTGATCTTTTCCCTTGGTTCAAAAAGGAATATTTCATCGATAACTGGAAGGGAAATTTCATGTCAGTTTCGAAATGTTTATTCAGTCAGACCAAAATAAGAGTCTAAATCCGTAAACTTTTAGTTTCCATGGTGAGAGCACAAACCAATTTTGTTAGCTTTTCAGGATTCAAGTGAACGTAGAAGTCCCTTTGTGATTTTGTATCTTAATTATGATTGTAGCACCAGGTACCATGCCCAAGAAAACCAAGATGGATGGTTTTGCATCACTGTCCATAATGTTATAAAGTTCACAGGAACAGGTTAATTTGCACATATGCACTGGAATCATAGGATGACACAATACTTTGTTTTACTTCTTTAATAAGTAGTATTTCAAATTTTGAATACATGCCATCTTAGATTCATTGTTCCATGTTTTGCATCACTGTCCTTAGAATTTTTTGTATCCTAAATTTTGGAAAATCCAATTAGGTTTTAGGATTTTCTTGAATTACTGTATGTCCAGGAAAATACCGGCATGAGGTTGGCATGCCTTGAACAAAACCTGTTTGCACCATGAGATGACAAAATGGTGTTGTTGCAATTTCATATTTTCTCAATTGATTCTCATCTATTGTTCTTGTCATTAATAAGTTATTTTCGTTGCCTTATGCAGTAGAGGGCATATTATGGTTGGTTTACCTCCAGCATGGGTGGATCTTTCTGAAGAAATATCTGCAAATATGCAACGTGCTCGAACAAAAATATCAGAGTTAGTCAAAGTTCATGAGAAGGCCTTAATGCCTTCTTTTGGAGATGGAAAAGAAGACCAACTTGCAATTGAGGTTCTTACCCATGAAATAACAGATTTATTGAAGCGATCTGAGAAACGACTGATGAAGTTATCTCCTAGTGGGCCTTCTGAAGAGTCAAATGTTAGAAGGAATGTTCAGGTACGACCACATTTATTAGTTATCTGCTGTTTTGTTTCTGTACTCTGGTATCCTGTTTAACATTCTAGTTGAAAGCATTCATATCCAGCCAACATTTCTGTGAAAAAGCAAATGAAAAAAGGTTTTCATTTTCTGCATTATGAGTTGTAATATTTTTGCATAAGACTAGCTGGTTATCTCTATCATTTTTTTGATACCCATAAATGTCTCCTAAAGAGAAGTGTACCATTGTTGCAGAGATCACTTGCAACAGATCTTCAGAATCTCTCAATGCAGCTGCGAAAAAAGCAGTCAATTTATTTAAAGCGTCTCAGAGAGCAAAAGGAGGTTTGTTGAACTCCTGATATAAATAATATTTTGTTTGCCTTTTTTTTATGTTCAGTAATTCTTTAATAATTTTGTTCTGTTTTTTCTGCCTTTCAGGGTCAAGATGGCTTGGATTTTGATATGAATATAAATGGAACTATGTCTAACATGGAAGATGATGTATTTGTTGATGTGGTATACTTCTCTGCTCTTTTTCTTTTAGCTTTATGCTGTAATTAGAAGTTATATTATGCATCAACAGTCAGGGACTCAGTTTTGGTCCATCATGATGTTGTTTAACCTTTTTCGATTTAAATTCTAAAGTTGCTTCCTGAACCTAACCACATAATTAACAACTCATTTGATGACAGATGTAATGAAGTCCAGTAATGAATACTTGGGTATTCCACAGTCAAGTCGAAATAGGAAGAATATTAGGCATTCCTTGTGCTGATGTCATCAGTGATAGGGACAAAAGAATGGAGATTGATATCTATCTGCAAGATATTGTTTTATTCTCAGTTGCACTAAGGGCTAAGTTTTATATGACCTCTAGTGATTCTACACAGTTTGTGTCTTTTATATATATAGCTATCAAGAAAGGATTCATAAGCGTAACCAAATGATCTGTGATGTACCTCATATATGATAGATTCTTCTGATATCTGTTTTTGTCACCAAATTCTTGGTTAAAACTGAACTTAGAGTGCAAAACTTTTCCTGAATCCCTGAAATATTTCTGGTTTTTAATTGATTGTTTCAGATTCTCATGTATTCCACCATATATACTTCCTATCTTCTTATTGACTAATATTTTATCTTTGGCTGCTTTGTGCAGGGCTTCAGTGAACATCAGATGTCTCAACTGAAAAGAAATGAGGCATTTACAAGAGAGAGGGAGAGAGAAATTGCACAGGTAAAACATTTAGTTCTAACTCCATCACAAGTTGGCACAGTTTCATATACCAGTTTTCCTGCTTATCCAATCGCCCTTATGACTGTTGTTGAATGACCTTGTCATTGGACTTTCATTTTGTAATTCAGGTTGTGGAATCAGTAAACGAACTTGCACAGATAATGAAGGATCTCTCTGTCCTTGTGATAGATCAGGTATTTCTTAAAACATGAGTCAGACATGGTTCCCATTCTTTGTCAGTGAAATTTGAAATGGCTTTTCTAATCAGGGAACAATCATTGATCGAATCGAGTATAATATTCAGAATGTCGCATCCACAGTGGAAGAGGGCTACAAGCAGTTACAGAAGGTTCTTTCTCTGTGTGTGTGTGTGTGATAATGACATTAACAAGACAAGATTTCAACATAACACAATATTCTTTTTTGGTGATACCAATAGAGCTTTTTTTCTTGACCATTAAAACTACAACCTCAATATCTAGGTGTAAGTGTAGTTTTCTCACTAACAAAAGAGGGGCTACCTATTCGTTACTTAACAGTCTGCTCTTTTTTCTTTGTTTGTACTTTGCATCTAGCATAGTGTAGTTATAATTACGTGGGAATTTTTTTGACTAACAGGCAGAGAGAACACAGAGAAAAGGAGGAATGGTTATGTGTGCTACCATCCTTGTGATAATGTGCTTCGTTATGCTAGTCCTCCTAGTACTAAAGGAGATATTCTTCTGACAAAGACAACTCTGAAAAGATGAATATCCCAAAAGATCAGCAACCATGGTAAAGGATGTCATGCTTGAGGCACTGGGATGGTTTCTTATATGAGTTTACAGCAGGCTCATGCAGTTCTCCTCGTTAGACAATTTTCCGGGTGATCTCCAATTTTATAATTCACTGATTCTTTTTTGAAAGAAGTGAAGATCTCCAAGTTTACAGAAGGCTCATACAGTTCTCGACACTAGACAATTGTACATGTGATCTCCAATTTTCTAATTCACTGTTTCTTTTTTTGAAAGCAATGAATTGGATGATCTTGATTCATTGTTTTTTTTTTCTTTATTGAATACATATTAAAAAAAAAGAGGAGCAATGGTAGTTTTGTTCCTGTAGATTATTCAGAAGTTAAGAGTTAGAATTCATCTTTGTTTATGATCTAAGGGGGGTCCCCTTTTTTGCTGAATTGGATGGCAAAGGGTTTCAGTTTGTAATAATGGTTCTTTCATTATTTTTTCACTGTAACTGAAGCTGCAATTGCATCGATCATGGTCGAGGTTGTGGCTCAGCCAAGTCTCTTCATGTGGCAATGAAACGACTGACTTGTTGAAGCGCCATCGCTTCATAGGAATTGGACAAATCATTTTGTTCTTGATTCAAGAAATTTCACATATTGGTAACAGTAGTCATTGAATAGGTCCAAATAATGATTTCATCATAGTAAGATGTCAATATACTACAAACATTTCATCAACAAACACATGCATTGGATGTGGGTTTTCTTTTTTCCATTAATTAAAATGATAAATCTAAATTAGAAATTTCAAATTGAAAGTACAAAGTTCAAAAGTGAGCCACCGAGGATACTGAAAGGAAAAAGAGAAATAATGTTTTATACACATTAAAACTAATTTTTTTGGAGAATAGCTATGTCTCCCACGTTACGAATTTGTTGGGCACACAGTTCATTGGTTCAACCTATAGTCCACTTTTTTTTTTAACCTAAACCTAGATATAATAAAGGGGATATGGTGGTTACAAAATAGAAGTAGAAAATTACAACAGTAATACGATTCAAAAAGAGGAGCAAAGGGTAAAAAAAAAAAAGAAAAAAAAAAGATGACAAAGATAATGCAAAGGTTATTCTCAATCATCCAAACAATATTCTCATCTCAGGTTAGATCAGATCTACAACAAATTCTTGCTATGATTACTTATTTAGGCAAGAGACTCTAAAATTTGTATATTCATTATTTTTATAGTGAATTTTCTTTGGCTTACCTCGTGGTTTTTTACCAGTCACGTTAGAGAGATTTTTCACGTAAATCTTGGTATCTTATTTGATTATAATTTTTATTTAATTCTGCTATGTGTAATAATTTGCTTATATTTATTCATATATAAAATTCTCTTTTTATCCCATTAGAATTAACTTTCACTTTATTTTTAAAAAAATTTATATTCATAAGTACTCACGCTTCATGTGTGGAATGAGACCCAGACCCCCCTCCCCCCATTTTTTGGAAAGCAAAACTTCCCAAAACAGTATTTTTTTACACTCTTCTATATATTCTTTCAAATGATTGAGACAACTTCTAATAGAATATAGAATCTTACCAATAGTCTCTTAGATCTAGAACGATAGAATCTTACCATTACACTGTTCTCGGACAAAATGGCCAATGTATCACCCTAAGGAGTTTGTTACATGCAAGCAGCAAGGGATAAAAGATATGTCCACATAACATATAACAAAATAACAAATTCGAAGAAAATAACTAAAGAGAAACAACCATTTTGAATAAGATATACATATCACGATAAACAACAGATACGTATCAATGGTCTAATGAAAAACGATTCTTAAAGAAACTTAAGGTTTTTACGTTAAATTGAAAAAAAAATCATATTTTGCTGTTTGTGAGTATTTTTAGACACCTTTAGTTATTTTTTCTCATTGCCTCCTGCCCAACATCAAAATGAACCTCATCGACCTCAATTCGTATCTTTTTCACCATAGTAATTTGTCCTTATTGTAAGCCTTACTAGAATGGGTAAGTATTTAAGAAGCCTTATCGAAGGATTAAGAATTCAACTAAGTTATATTTAAGATGCTATACATCTTAATGTGCCCTCAACTTCTAGTAAAGACGAAGAGATGTGATAAGATTTATGAGAGATTCAAACTTAGTGTGGGTTAAATCAAGAAGAGATGTTCTTTATATTTAATTTTTTTATATATTGAAGAATATAATTTTCTTCGTAAATCTAAGCAAGGGTTGCCAAACTATGCAAATGTTATGTTGGTTTCTAGTTTTTTTTTTGTTTATTAATATCCGATGACATGTAATTTTAACCATTTTTTTTATAAGTAGCCAACCAATATGGATGTTATTAACTTCCTTAAACACATATAAGATTTATACACCCATAAATTTATCCAACCACAAGAAATCATTTTAAAAATTATTATTTTTTATTAGAGACGATCAAGTAGAGTTTGAGTCAAACTACAATTCGGCCCAATTAAATTTTCAATCAAACTCTAATTTGATCTTGATTAAACTAAGCAAGGACCAAGTCTCACTCAAATTTGACTCAAATCAAGTTTCGATCGAAGTCCAGTTTTACTCAACCCAACTTTGACTCAAACTTCGATTCAAATCTAATGTGACTAGACTCAACTCAAACTTAATCAAATCCAAGGGTCGTTCCAACTAGAATAGGTCCATCTCCAAGTTCCAAGGTATTAGGACTCTCCATATCCTAAAGGCATTAAGATTCTCAAAGATATACCAAGACCTCAGCTATAAAAGAGGGAGAAGAGCCTCATCTAAAGTATCTCCAAAGCATCCAAGTCATGCTCCATTTTGAGAAGCCAACTGGCCCGAGGTTAAGAGGAGCTGAGAGAAAGCCAAGAAGTGGTTTGCAAGATCAATAGCCTTTCTTCTTGCCTATAGCCACCTTACTACATAGATCTTTCCAACTTGTTGTTAGCCTTAATAACTTCAAAATAATCCTTTAGTAGTAGCAAAAAGAAGAAGAGGAACCAAAAGTTAACCAAGTCCAAATCTCAAACTAAAAGAACATATTCAAGTTAAATCAAGCCTCACTTAAATTTGGCTTAAATTGAGTTCTGATTAAAGTCCAATTCACCTTAACCCAATTTTGACTTAATCCAACTTTGACTTGAACTCTAATTCAAATCCAATATTACTGGACCCAACTCGAGCTTAAATCAAATTCATAAGGGTCAAATCTAACTGGAATATGTCTAGCTCTATATCCTAAAGGCATTAGAACTCTCCAAGTCCTAACCTTGCAAGGACTATACCCTTAAGAGGAGATCTCCATCTAAAGCATCTCTAAAGAATCCAAATCATGTCCCTTTTGAGAGGTCAGGCAACCCTAGGCTAAGAGGAGAGGAGAGGAGAGAAAGAAATGAAGCGGTTTGCAAGATTAGCAGCCCTTCTTCCTACTTACATCTACCTTATTTTATAAATTACTATTAGACTAAATAGCTTTTAAAGATGCCTTTGGCAGCAACAAGAAAAAGCAAAAGAAAAATGCAAGTAGATTTATATTAATTCATTCTTCTTGACCTATATCTACTTCTAATTTCTTTTCCCTCGAAGTCATCAGCTTTTATTACTAATCTTACTTTCAATAGGTGAATATCAACTACTCTTATTATATCTTTCTCTTTTTCAGAACTTTGGGAGAGAGTCTTCGTACTCACTCTTTTATAAGAGACATATCATCTCTTATCACTTAGTATCATAACTAAATTTAAGAGGAAGGAAGAGACTTAAACAATGCTTAAAAGAGAGCTATGATACTTCACAAACTTAAAAATAAATGCTTCATCGACCAAGCCCGAGTGTGATAATTATAGGCCTTAAAAGGTTTTAAAAATAAAATAAAAAATTAAATCTCTAAAATTTTTAGATACGAGTGGTACTGCCATAAATATTGAGAGGTATTATCATCATAACTTTTGATGAGCTACAAATTTGGATTCAACAAATTTACCATCATAAAATTTAAAGTCTAAGTGATACCATCACCACCCTAAGTGGTACTACCACTATTATGGTTAGAAAGGTTGATAAAGCATAAATAATGCTTGTCAATTGACATAAGTAGTACCATCACCTAGGCCTAGTGATTCCATTGCCCCTGACTAGTTTAGGCGATTAGTTTGGCCTTCTAACATACACAGTTTAGTCCAACTTCAAGCCTAATGGCTTTCGTGATAAGTTGTGTTTGTTTTGAATCAATATTGACTCCAATTAATATAAATAATCTTGATTAAGGCCTTGACAAATCAACTACTCATCCGATATATCTTTGAAGCATTTAGCATATTGTTTACTCTTTTGGCATGTCATATGATCTTTTGATACTTCGTTCAAACCTCCGACACATCACTTTATTCCCTAGCATATCACCTAAATCCTTTGGCATATCAGGTCACTACGATATCTGATTTTTTGACATGATATTTGATCATTCTGATATGATGCCCAAACCACTAGTATAAAGTTTATTTTTTAGCATATCAATCAATTCTTTAGCTCGACGTCAAATTTTTTGCATGATAATCTTCCAATACAATATTCAACTCTTCTACTCGATATTTAACTCTTCGGTGGCATGAGTCTATGATTGAAATATTTTCTACATCATTTTTTTAAAAATCATATTAATTTATCAAATTCATCAATTAATTTTGTTATCAAAATCCATGTTCCAATAGGGGGTTAGGGTGAGAATGATCTTTTGAAGGAAGAAGAGTTTGTTGAAGGGGATTAGGGTAGATGGAGGTCATTTGGGATTGGGTATGAGTGAATAGATAAGTTTTAGAATAACTTAGAGAGTTTCAGGTCAGATTCAAGTTACTAGTAATAATACTGCCAACCTCAAGTGGTGCTACTACTAGTATGTAGTATTTTGGTGATGGCATTACTAGATCCAATGGTGCTATTATCATATGTTGTCCTCCTCTCCTCCTGCCATCTACTATCCTAGTTAAGGACATATACCATTATTCAATAAAATTTACTAGGCCTAATTCCCTTATGATAAAATTAAATCGTTCTTCACTTAGGAATTTTATAAAGATATCTAATAATTGATGTTTTGTGTCAATGAAGTCCAATCATATGTATGATTACTAATATAATCCTAATGTCTAATATCAATATGTTTGTCAAAGAGTGTTGAATAGATTTTTTTGTTAAACAAATTATACTAGTGTTATCATATTTTATAAAGATATTTTTCAAATAAACTTCATAATCTTCTAAAGTGTACTTCATTTAAAT